GTTTTGGGCGGATAATTAGAAAATTCATCGGTTAACCTACTAAAAATTGAAAATCAAATAAAATCTGAAGGACCAAACAACACACTGTTTTTTGTTTGAGAGGCTTCAGGGACTTAAGTTGCCTGCCATGGGGCTCCAAACTTGGTTGATTTTACACTATTTTCAATGGAGCTTGAATTGGTTCAGTGCACCATGAAACAAAAAGCACGAGACCGCACGCGCGCACGTACGTACGCAAACGCGTTGGTTTTGCTCTCGATGAAAAACCGCGGCCGCAGGCAGCAGTGATCAGACATTGTCTTCTGGTGAAGCGTGCCGAGCAGGTTAGATTATGTGTGGTTGATGGCAAAAGAAATCCGCTTGTAGAAAACCAGCGCAGAACTTCAACATTTGTTCTGGGTATGGCGAGCGATGCATCTACCTCCACGTGGAAAGGGTTTTGTGGAAATTCTGGTTTCTGGGTAAGTAGGCCATCCCCTGGCCATGTACATGGTCCTGTTAACTTATAATTGGGTAAATAACACCATAACAGGGTAAATAAATCTTTTCGAATCGTGTTTCATCCTGTGCCCGTGATTGATTTTTAGCGGATCAGCTTTTGGGGCCCCCTGCTCATTTTCTAGTAGAAATAATGTAGGCCTATGAATCCTTTCTTTACTTGATATCTTTTTTATAAAATTATGGGATGGATGGGAAAAAAATCCAACTTAATACAGGCTTTGTTCCAGTCCATTGATGTGGGTTTTGCGGTATTCATACCTGCTAGAGATTTTAAGATTTTAGTGGAGTTGAATTATGATCTTTTGTATAAACTTGCAACACATTTATGATATTGCTGTGTGTATAATGTACATGTATACGATTATGGTGTGCTTATGTTTCATTTCATGAATGATATGGATGTTACGTCCCAACTATAGTATAAGTCCCAACTATAGTTGGGACAGTCCCAACTTTAGTGCTGCAGTTGGGCTTGCCCAACTATTGTTTACCAGTGTCTGTGGGAAATGTCTCAACATCATCCAAGTCAATATGTGTCACACTTGACACAATTCATCTAAAACGTGGCACTTCATCGCTTTATCTAGCCGTATGACCAATGACATGACATTTGTGAACAATATGACTTTGGTGCATGCTGGGCTCATCATGCACACAGGACCTATCTGCTGTAGTTGGGTGGGCCCAACTCTAGCACTCTAGTTGGGACGGACCCAACTATAGTTGGTACAGGTCCAACTATAGTTGGGACTGATGCTATAGTTGGGGCGTAACATGGATAAGCCTGAAGAAACAATCTTCCAATTAGATGAGATCAAACATATTTAATATAGCATGTTTAACCATGTAGGACGGACACAAACCGTCCTCTGTGATGTGACCATGGACTCATCAGAATGACTTTCAGATATACACGTTTGTTCATAAATTTATATACATGAGTGTCGATGCCCTAGTCTTGAGATCAATTCCACTCCAGTTTTAATTATATTCAGAAGAACTTCAAGGAGTTTCCAGGGTTGGGTGGGGGATCCCAGCCAGCTTGATAAGGTATAGTACTTGAAATGGGCTGCCTTCGCATGCAGTGCCAAGACCAAAGTTTTCTAGTCCTCATCTATACGTCGATTTTCCTCGAGACTGGTCTCTACCATCCTGATACTGTATCTCTTTTTTCCACTTCAGGAGCCATCTCTCCTGAACTCCACCCACCCTGATCTGTCGCCCTGCTTCCAAGAGACGGTGTTATCATGGGTGCCTCTCCTCTTTCTCTGGTTGGTGGCGCCGTTCTACCTCTGGTACATGTGGAAGCACGACCGTGGAAGAATTCCCGTCTCCCGCTTGCACCGGGCAAAAACGGTAAATCCAAACTACTGTTACTTTGAATATGATCACCTTTGTCACAATCCTCTTTGCCAGATGCGTGGCCCCACCCAACAAAATGAAGTACAAGCCTTTGAAACTGCTAAAATGTTTCAGCTTCATTTTCATGTCTGCTTGTACAGACCGGCTCAAAAGATGGGCATAAACGTCTCTCAAACACATTCCCTTGTTTTTGTACAGACATTTACAGTGTGTACATAGGCATTATCTGTGGCACATTTGCAGACTGGATCTACATGCAAGTTTCAGTTGAATGAAAGCGGTATGTTTCTGCCTCTGGAAAATTGTTTATTATTTACACATATTGTGCTAGTCATTAAACAGTCCAGGACAGGTTCACGTTATCTGGGCCCTATAGTTTTTCAAGGGCTCTAGTGCAGGGTCTGCCGGTCAAGGAAGAAGCCAAGGTGTCTGCTAAATGCACATTTCTGCAACCTTTACTTTTTAATGCAGAGCTAAAAACAAGTTATTAAACCTTAACCCCTAGGCCCATCCTTAATCCTCCAGAATCCTCCAATTGGGGGGGTGTGAAGAAATTGAGTTCTCCCTCAATCCTCCGAAATCTTCCAAAATTTCTTGAAAATGTTCTTTGGAGGTGTGCCTATTGCCACATTCCTTAAAAATTCTCCGGCAATTCCTGTCATTATGTTGAGGCAGTGCAAACGGCATTCTTGAGCAGTGCGGTTGATAAAAAAAAAATCAGGCTGAATTTATGCATGACTAAGCAAAACGACACATGGCATGGCATCCTTCACAATAAGCCATGCACTTTTGCCATTTACCCTCAATCCTCCAAGACTGCCTGAAGGATTTTGGAGGATGGAGGAGGGTTAGGGTTAAGATTTGTAAAACTTCCTCATTAGCTTACGCATTAGTCCTATCATTGCTCATAATGTAGCTCATGATGTAGTTCTGTATATCTGCACAAACAGTGATCTCTCCCCTGGAAACATCTGTAACAAGAAGATTACGCTGGATCATCCCACAGAGCATGCAGGACAAAACTAAATCCTTTCAGCTTAGATTAAAAAAATACTTCGGGCTAGCTCAGAGCAGAGGATTGGCAGAGAAAAAGCTACTAAAAAGGAGTATAACTATGGTACATGCACATCCCATCCAACAGGGTACAGGGTAGTGTTTGTGTGGGGTCACTAAAGGTCACCTGGCAATGACGGCTCTGCTGTTTAGTGAACGTGTTTGTTTGCCATGGTAACTACTCTTTCCAGTCCCCCCCCCATGATAGCATACAATTTAGTTCAGCTGATGTAGTCTATCTGAATAAACAGTGATCTGTCCCCTTTATTGAACTTTCAACAAAAAGATTCTACTGGACGATTACTCCAAAATATCGGGCATAGTGCAAAAACTGATCAATTGAGGTTACATGTACATGTTCAAACCATCCAGGCTACATGCATGGCTGCAGTTCAGAGAAGATTAACCCTAACCTTCCCCAACCACACAGAATTAAACAGTAGTAAAGTGTTTAATTCTGTGGAAATAGGTCTGGTAGGCCCATAACAGCTGGCTTTTGCATTGGGTTTGGCATATCTCAGAAAAACAAAGTCCAACAGCCTCTGTGCACCAAGTCCCATATGGGTTAGGGCCAGCAACCCTTGTGGGGTTAGGGTTAACTAACTGAAAGACTTTGGCTACTTTCCTTTGCCACAGGGCACAGAGCATTGTACATGAAGAGCCGTTACAGTGCTAAAATCTTTCCCCATTTGAATGTTAAAATCCTTAACCGGGTCTTTGTAAGCTTCTACCTGTGGTTTCCATAGGGTGGCTTTTCGTACCTTCTCAGCTGTCAGAATGATATCGATAAAAAGATATTTAAATGTTTGCAAAACTGGCTGAGCTTGTGTTGTGAATGATAGGGTCATTTTGTTTTTTCTTGTTTTCTTTGTTTTTGGGTTGTTTTTTTTTTTTCAGTTTAATGTGATGTGCGAGGCTGTGTTTGGCATGAGTGTTTGCGTACGCCCTATTGATCCATCGAAGCGTGTCAGAGTGAAAAATCACAACCATGACTACAACAAAAAATAAGCTGATATCAATGCAGACTAACACTCCAACTCGAAGGGGGGGGCATATTTGTTGCATTGCAGATATTTTGAAAACGGTATTGGTTATTTTTGTTTTTTTAGGGATGAAAATTCAATACAGTAAGGTCATATCGTGCATTCACTTCCTGATTTGGCAGTGAAAAAATACTGAAACAAAAATTAAAGGTTTGTTTTATTTTCTAAAACCCCAAGGCCAGTACAACTTTAAGTCATGGCTTCATATATTGAAACTTCAGTGCTTCAAAAATTATATTATAATGCATGTGTTCAGAGAACTGTTGAGGTCTCAACATTACATGAATGTTTCGCACGCTAAAAATGTGACTTATTTTGATTCTTGCCTGCATATTTATATCTTTTATTTCAGGTTTTGGGTGGGCTGTTGATCATTCTTTTCCTGGCTGAGGTAGGCTTTGCCCTAGCACAGATCATCATGCCCAACCGTCAGATAGCAGGCGTGTATTTGCTCACTCCAACGCTTACTGCACTGACCATGGTAAGGTCACGTACCCGTTCTGTAACTTAAGTCCATGAAATGTTTTACAAATCAGTGAGAAATGGATGAAATTCATTTATGGTGCTTCATTCAGAAAGTATTAAAGTTGTTGGAAACTCGTAGTGCATAAATTGTGTAAATAAGGAGGGCTTGACATTACAGTCCCGGCACAAGCATTCTCAAGATTCGCCAGAGACTCTGTCGCCAAAGCAAAGTGTAGTGCAGACCTTTTTTCCTTCTAAATTTGTGATTTTTCAAAGTTTATTAGAGAAACACTAAAGCACGTAATTACTGATGAACTGGCAAGGAAGTGAGCACTTTCAGTTTAGAGCTACTATCTTAATAATGCAGCTTTCAAAATAACACTGGGCTTGGGGTACGCTGCAAAGAAATGTGTTGTGTCAGGGAAGAATGTCGCTTCATCACCTGCTGACCTTGCGGTTTGCAGAAGTGGATTAAATTTCATTGTAGTTCTAAAGCATTTTTGCAAACACAACATGAATGCTTTCCTTCATGTACATGTATAGTGTGCACACCATGGCACAGGTCATGCTGATCCAGCATACATGTTGGAGCTATTCTCTATTTCCCGGAATTAATACACAACTGATCATATGAAATGACTGATTCATTGTGTTTGGGTCACAGGAAATGAGATGTGTATTGTTCTATAGTGGGAGGAAGCAGTTAAACTTGCTGCAGGATGTTGGAGTCAGTCTGATCAATGTTGAAATACTCTGTCTTTATATCTTTCTTTCTATATGATTCTTTGACAGTGACCCACGGATCAAAATTAAGTCCATGATTACTGCTTCCTAAAAAAAATAGAGGGACATTTTCAATTCTAAATGTTTGGACTGTATCTGTCCTGTTGTTGCTTGGAAGAAATCAAGCCTTATTATGAATTATGCTTGATTCTGTTGTATTCATATTCAGTGCTTTGTACAAATTTTGCTGTTTCTACCATCAGATTTTAGCATTCGCGATCATCCAGATCCAACGAATCAAGGGGGTGGAAACATCGTGGGTGCTCTTCATGTTTTGGCTGCTGGTAGCAACCTGTGGCATTGTTGAGTTCATATCCAGAATATACTCGATACTGCATACAGATCGGGTATGTCAAAGAAATTAGTCAATACCAAAAATACAAACCCCAAGATTTGAAATTTTAACGATGAGTTGCAATCAGAATATTTTACCGTATATTGTCATTTTTTAGTCTTTTCTCTTTGGTGTAAGCAATTGCCGTTGTATGCTAGTAAAATGTATGTTGTCATGACAAGACTTGAAGATACATGCACTTGTCCACATGAACAGCGCATACATGTACAGTGTATGTGCCCAAAATGCAAACAGCTTTTTTTTTCCCTGAATGTGCACCAAACTTGTAGCTTTCTTGCTTAAGAACACACCGAGATGTTGGTAGAGATTGACGTTTGCAATTGCACCCAGTTGTTCACAGTTTTTTTGGTTGTCGCACTGAGGATATACACAGTTGAACATGAAGGCTTCACGTGTACATCTGCAAGCCCGATCATCAATTTGGGTGAAGTTTGAGCGACAACCATTTGTAGACTAGTGGTCAATTTTTTGTTAACCTGTGCACAAATTGTATGTATATCCTGGGTACCAGGCAAAATGGACCAGTGCTTGGCCTGTGGTTATCCCTCAAACTCCCCTCAGCTGTTATGGTTAAGTGTGTTCTTCCCAAAGTCAATTACCACAGTTGCCCCATTAAATAGTACATACATTTCACGAAAGAACAGCACCAGGCAAGTTCAAGTACAAACTATGTCAGCGGTTCCCCGTTATTTTATTGCAAGAAAGGTCATTGATAATCAGTGATGCAAATATGCTTCGGGGTTCAAAACATCCATTGTTCGGGGGGGGACTTTGGTGGAACCACACTAATTGTTTTTTTTTCTAACTTTGCCGTCCTGTTCTGCTTTGCACAGGTGAACTTTGACCTTTTCCACTTTGTGACCTTCTACATTTATTACGCTCTGGTGCTGGCCCAGCTTGTCTGTTCTTCAATGGTAGACAGAATGCCCTACTCATCGACAGATGAGGTAAGCAGTGCTGTGTTCAGTTTAACATTATCTGTCATGGTGGAATTCCTCAGCTTTTCAAGAAAGATTCAAGTTTCTTGTCTCTCGAGCGTCCTTTACCTATAGGGTTTTGAAGCAGAAAGTTTAGACATGGATCAGGTTCTGCAGCAGTATTTCTGATAATAATGTGTAGGTTGAGACTTGACAGAAATATTGCATTTACCTTTTTGTGTTTAAGCTATTGCTTGACAACATGCTACACCATTGCAAGACTTTAAAGCAATCAAAACAAGATCTACTCAGAATATGAGCAGTGAGAAAGTCTCAGATACATACAGGGAATTCACAGTGTACCGAAATTTTTTTCCCATGGAATAGGAAGGGGGAACCGTCCAGCTGAAACAAAGAAAATGATATTCCCTAATCCCTATCAAAAAAGTTCCAGGGGCTCCTGGAGTTGACTCCTGCATAAAATCTTTTCATGAAACACTGGCATAAAAATAAACGAATGTGCAAATGTACACCGAACCGACATTGACTTACTGTTGAGTTTAAATCAAATCCAAGTTCAAAGTCATGAAACTGCAGAGACATCCCCGCCAAATCAGGTCTCCCAAGAACTACATGATGCCTTTTCCAGTGGTCAACTAGTCATGCTCTAGATATATCAGTTTGTTATCAATCGGCTGCCAGTGGTGAAGGACATAGATGCATATGTGTATACTAGATATCGTGATCTTTTCAATGTCAAACTGTTGACCTTTTTCAGAATCCTTGTCCAGAAGCCTCAGTCTCATTCCTGTCAAGGCAGACATTCTGGTGGTTCTCAAGGTGACAAACGTTTCTGTGCCAGTCATTTTTTCCGTGTTATCTTTTTTCATGTTATTTTGTGCACTAGAATATTGCCAAGAAAGTACCAGTTTTTTCTAGCTTGTATTTGATGTCTCTGAGGAATGTGGTATTTTTTATATGTTTAGTTTAGGAAACTGGAAATTGTTTTAAGGAGGATGATATCAGATGGCTTTCTTATAACCTTTTGAAACACGTCATGCATTAAAATGTGCTGAGTTTGATCCCTCCGTGAATATGCTGTACAACGTTTTTGAAATCTCTCAGCATGGTTTTGAAAGGCTACAAGAAGTCACTGACCGCAGATGACCTTTGGTCACTGATGGAGAGGGACAAGGCAGCCACAGTCATGCCCAGGTTCCTGAAGGCTTGGAAAAAGGAGAAACTCAGGTAGGCCATCTGGAGTCAAGTCTGTGTGTCTCCTAACGGGAATGAAAGTAAAAAGGAGACAGATTCCTCATGATATTGCGGATATTGTTTTTCTTTATACCAGTATTTCCTGTGATAGAGTACCTGAATATAAATTCCTGTCTTACTGATGTAATTGAAGTTCCATTCCACCAATAAATGGAAGTACTATTTTTGCACTCGCACTGAATTTCTGAACTCCTCGTTGATTCCAGGATTCATTCAGGATTTCTTTGGGTGATGCAGGGATTTATTCAGGCCTTACATGAAAGGCATCTATGCATTGCATAAAAGACATTCATGCATTGGAAAGAATAATATTATTCACCTTATGGAATGAAACATTCCATCTGTCACTTTTATTAACCACTTGATGCTGGAGGCAGTTATCAATATTGATGATGCTGGTCCGGGATAATTATCTTTTTTTTTTTCTGTTTTCAAAATTCTTTAACAATTCTTATCTTCATTTACTTGACACTTACAAACACGTGAAGGACTGTCTGGTGTCCACTCTAGCCTGACAGACAAAATCTATTGATGTCTGAGTATTTCAGCCAGGCCTGCAGCCTTGTAAAAAGAGCCCAGATTGTGCGGTGTTATATAACTTTCTTTTGTTCACGAACCTGACTCAGTGTGCTGCTGACCTCTTTTCAATAGGGGCCAGATTAGCATGCATTGGTACTATGTGGCTCATCGCTGCAGTGGTGGAGCGCTTTGGTCCCCAGTGGTAATCCGCTCACTCTAAATGCCCCAAACCGTGGTATACTGTTTCAAAACAAGGCTGGATTATCTCCACTTTTGAGAGTGAAAAAATGTCGGTAATGCCCAGCAGCCTGGTCTTTTGTTCCGAGTAGGATCTTTTGTTACAAGGCCCTGTTCTCTTTGTCTGAGTTCGGAGACCCCGGCCATGCATATAAAGCATACGTGTCCAGATCCGGAATCCCCGGTAGGAAGTGGTTGAACTTATTCTTGCCATTGCATTCCACTCATGAATATTCATTATGTGCAGAATTCATATTGATTGCTTTATACGTGGAATAGATAATCACATTCTCCATCAGTTACATGTATATGCTATTTTTAGTCTGACATGCTTTGTCAGTAACTATAATTAGTGCCTCATTAGTTATGCAGGTTTAGATATTATGACCGTCAATTCATAGTCAGTCTGTTAATGATTAAAAGTGCACAGAGTCAGTTCTGATGTTTCTTAGAAAAGTTTGATGCTTCTTTGAAAGGTATTTAAATGTTGTCTAACCTCAACGTCTATTCCAGATCAGACCTGTCTGTGCATTCACCGACCCCAAAACAAAAGAAGATGGGCAACCAGGTACCCGTGCAAAAGCTGGACGAAGACGGTGACACTCCCCACAAAAACGAGGTCAAGTTCTCGGGACCAAACTTGCAGAATGGCAAAGGAGCCGATCATTCAGCCACGGAAGCCGAAAGTACCACGAGGAGCTACAAGGCGTCTCTCTTCAAGGCGATCGTCCGGACGTTTGGCCGCGTTTTCCTTGTAGGGTGCTTCCTGAAACTTCTCCACGACATCTTGCTGTTTGTCAGCCCAGAATTACTCAGGTTAGTCCGAAATATTCACTGTATTCAGCAATGAAATCAGTGTCAAAGGGAAAAAAAATGAAATGTGGATCATTGGTCCCCTTAGGGGCCTCATCAAGTACACCGCCGACAAAGATGTCTACCCGTGGGAAGGCTACATGTATGCTTGTCTGCTCCTGGCCTCTACTGTCCTCCAGTCATTCTTGCTTCATCAGTACTTCCACATCTGCATGCTGACAGGGATGCACATGCGAACAGCGCTCATTGGTGCTCTGTACAGGAAGGTAGGTCTCCATGATGACACACTAGACATGTCGCTAACCTTTTGTACCTGGTAAATATTAGAAATATAGTCAGTGTTGAGCCCCTATCCAAATGAGAAAAGAGAAGTTCGAGCCAACACTCGAATGGCCTCAGCACTGCATGCCTCCCTCCCACATCAACATCCAGCAGGCTTGTACACATTCAGGCGAAAAATGGCGCTGTGTATGCTTTGACATAAAGGATGCCATTGCCACTTGTTGGTATAGGGCACAAAGCATCTTATCATGTTTATTACTAAACACCGGCCACTCCAGATCATCACCCTCTACATTTAATAATTTATTTATGGCTTCTTTTAGAGAGAGAAGTTTAATTCATTTGTAAAATGGAACACTGAAGATGCCACTCATATCTGTCTGGGTAACCAATTTTTCATATTTGGTTATTTAATTCAGTTCAGAAAACCGAGGTTCACCCTGTCAGCACAGAGCCTTTGGTTCACAGGATGTGCGCATGCACACTTGCCAAACTCCATCTTAAATCCAAGATACACTCAAACCACTGTACTGGCAAATCATTTTCATTGCACTGGTGCAAGTGGACTTGCTTGAAGTACCATCCTTAGCTGCCCATTTTGGACCAGACAGCTTGCTTTCGCTGTCAAAACTTGTCGTCTAGTAACCCTTTCTCAGTTTACAGTTTTGCTCAAATGTACAACTTCTGCTTGTTCGTTAATCTCTGGACACACCAAGGCCTTGATACTCTCCAACTCTGCCCGAAAGGATGCCACGACCGGCGAGATCGTCAACCTGATGTCTGTGGATGCCCAGCGGCTGATGGATCTGTGTACCTTCGTGAACACCCTCTGGTCATCGCCGTTCCAGATCCTGGTGGCGTTGTTTTTCCTGTGGCGCACCCTGGGCCCCTCGGTCCTAGCCGGATACGGTGCAATGGCTCTCTTGATTCCGCTCAACGCTTACGTCGCCGTCAAGATCCGGAGTATCCAGGTACAGAAGTAGTTTGAATCTCTGGCTATGGCTATGGGAGTGGCTTATGTTATTTCCTTGGACTTTTGAGATAAAAAATCAGAGTTTCCCTGCTCAAAGAGGCCGTACTGGTGTTGGAAAAGGTGGTTCATGCTTGGCATGTTTGCAAACAAGAATGTGGGCGTGTAGCAGGGGGAAAATGCTTCAATGTGATTTCTCGGAGTTCATCACCAGTCATTTAGGCTTAAGTCAAGCTTTCCTGTTGTAATATGTGATTACGCTGGTGAATGAGTATTCCAACAGCACTTGTCCAAAATGAAGCATATCAAAGGTCATTCAGGAACAGCAGTACATGTGCGCAAAGTCTGCCAGAGTTGCCACATGCCAACTTTCACACACGGTTAATTCTAGGATAACCTTGCTTTTTTGAAACACTGAACGGTTTTACTGTCACCCGTTTTACTGTAGGCTAATCCTGTAAACCGAACTAGAAGCCGCTGCTGCAATGCTTTTTACGTGCGCATGCAGACCACCGGCGGCAGAAGCAGGGGGGTCAGGGGGCCAGTGCCCCCCCCACTTTTTCGACTGGAAGGGGCCTGGCCCCCCCTTAACTTTTTGCAGGTCCTGTAATTGGGTGGGGCTTAATGGATCAACCTATTAATGACTGATGCCTGATGGTCTAACAACTGGCCCCCCACTTTGAAAATCATTGCGCCGCCGCTGATGCGGGCAGTACGCACAAGTCACATGCCGTCTTGACAAGCAGGTGTTGTGACTTGCCAATGTGCACAAACATTCAAAAACATGCATGTTTTGCTCTACAGTAGAGGACACAGAGCACAGAGGAAACAAACGATGGTGTCTTGTCTTCAGTAAG